AATTCATCTTCCATATTCCTAAACAACGTTTATCAATGCTTTCATATTAAAGGGGCAGAGTATTATAAGTAGAAAAGCTCACTATAATAAATTATGATATTATAAAGATAAAATGGATGTCCTTTTCTCTTTCTTCACTGTTATACTGCCATGTTGTTGGACAGACAAGCCCTGACAAGGGGTGATCACAATGATTACCTCAGAGCAAATTAAAGGAGAGCCGTTATGGGAAACGGAAGGATTTCTCTCAAACTGTCTCCCCCAAATACATGTCAGACTTAGCTGCTTGAGAATGACTATATACTTGGAGGTCATCAGGAGTAGATTAGGGGTCATTCTCCCTAAGAGCTATCAGCCTTCTAGACCAAGCAGACACCACTGGTTATCCCACAATAAGTAGGGCCCACTCCCTTCTGATAAGGATATTAGCTGTCTGTTTCCTTGTAGGGACACCAGAGAGGTCAAACCCGCCCAAGGATGAACAAGGTTAGGCCGCCATCATGAATCTAGGGTCCACCCATCTTGTCACATGTATACCCCTAGACCTTCCCATTCCTATGGGCACACCCCTAGCTCATCCCCTTCCTGTTACGCTTATGCCTATCATAGATTCCCTTCCTACAATGTGTATGCCTAGTGTACTGCCCCTTCCTGTGACGTGTGGTTACCTGTAATCATGTCCCCCTAAAGAGATATAACGGTTGGTGAGCAATAAAGAAAAGGCTCTCCCTGGTTCTCGGGCCTAGAAGCTCTCTCCTGCTCTCGCTCCCGGGGTTCTCTCCTGCTCTCGAGGCTGGGCTCCCTCCATGAGGACCACCAAGCATGGCTGAGGTGAGCATGCTACCACGAATTGTGTCTGACTCCATTACTTAACTCTTCTACCTCTCATGCTCTCTATGCCTTTACTATAATCTTTACTTATCATGTACAATTGTGCCTACTGGACCTGTGATGATTTGTGGGGGGTCTCTCCCTTTCTCCCCACAAGCTGTGACTGCTGACTGGGCTCTGACGTAGAGTGTCCCTATAGGGGAGAGCAGAAATGCCCGGTAAAGTGAGCATTTGTCAGCAAGCCCTATGGTTGGGAATTCATATCCGTCAGCCACTCTGAAGCAGAAAAATGAGACTATCTACTTCCATAATTGGTTTCAGTCTCAGAAATACTATGTATCATTTCTATGAGTTGGAATCAACTCTGGGCAGTGGTTTGGTTTTGGGAAGCCAACTTTAGGAAGGTCAACTGTGACATCTCTGTCCTGCAGAGTGCCTGTAGACTCCAAATGTCGACCTTTTGGTTAGCAGCTTAACCAGTGTGCCATCGAGGCTCCTTCCACACAACGAGGAAGCTTGTACTGTGATGTCAGAAGTTTATGTGAGTCTACCGAGGACTGCTGGCTAAATGCTAGCATGTTAATTTATGGAAATTCCAGAGATGATGATATTCCAGAAGAATACGTGGAAAGATCTGAGGAAGAGATCAAGCCTTTTTTATTTGTGTTTGCTCTAAAGTGACATATGATAGACCATCATCAATAAGTTCATGGAAAAATTCCATGGCTTTTAAATTCCATTTTTCCATGAACTTCCAATTCCAAGTTTCATGCACCTTTTGATAGCTCTGTGTATTGTTAAATCTGTTCCATGTTAAATAATTCCAAGTTTTACTAGTTCATAAAACATCTTGAGTCAGAAGAGATGACTTCAAGTGACATGTCTGGCATGTCTTGAATATAAATGAGGCGGTTTAGTTGACCTGTAGTGGGTTTTGTGATTGATGTTTTATATTCCAGTCCAGCAACACAGAGGCAGTATCTTCCCTAGTACACCTGTTCTCCTTTCAATCAAAAGAAAAGAAAAGTCACTCTTAGCTGTGATAGAAAGGCTGCTTTTCAAATGTCCTTTGAGAAATAGAGATTTAGAGAAGTATAATCTTGGCAGTTCTAGAACATGAGCTAGGACTTAAGTCCATGGCTAGAAGCATGCAGAAAATCATTCAAAAATGAGACTTTTAAAATTAGATACACTTTGAAGAAGTTTGATGTGGACACAATTACTTCATCAGGTTTTCTAATTATAAAAAGTCATATTGTTCTTATATGTTAAACTTTAATTATAGATTATTCTACATTGAGGTAAACTGGAATTTTCAATATATGAAGGCAGTGCCACTCAGAAATGAATGGGACAGCCTGAACTGAAATAGACGTAGTGGTAGCTGAGTGACAACTCAAACATGAATTTAGTGTAATGTTAATAAATAAAGTTTATTCAAAAAACAGTTCACAAACCCTGATGCTTCTTGACTCCTTCCATCACTTACCTGGTATTTGGTAGAGTTATGATCAATGCATTTATTTGTCTTCAATTGTGAGGAAGCATATCATGAATTCAAAGAATATGACAAATCTGGGAGACATTTTCTTCTTTTTCATTATTTTAGAATTAGCGCATGACAAAGAAAAATAAGGAAAGCAAGAATAACAACAACAGATATAGCAATTTAATCTAAATGAGAAAGCCATTGCCATGAAAGAGCTCCTGAAGGAAAAATGTAACAGTGGGTGTAGATCCTCATTGGCTCAGAAAGCGAACCTGTCTTACGCACAGGTTCAGACTCTTCGGACAGGATGTCTCAGGTGGAGGCTCCAGCCGATCTTAACTTAATGACTTAAGAGCTTCGGGGTACCTCTAACCTAGTTCCTTTGAAAAGTCCTAATAGGAAAGTTGGGAGAAATTGTTTTTATAGCAACACTGCTATAGCATACTATTCACTTTTTTATTTACTTCATTACCTGTATAGTAGTCCTGGGACTGTGAGCAGGTCCAGCTGCCTGCTGTCTACACTGCCTCTAAACAGTTGTACTCACTGAAACAAACTATGGATTTTTTACTTTAATAAAAAGCATTGGAAAATATACTACCCTACTACTTCCAAAGGTGCATTACCACCCAGGGGCCACTATCATTTGAAAAGTACACACACACACACACACACACAGAGTTTCGGAGGCCTGTGGACTAAAGGGGAGAGGTGAGCCAAATGACACCTGGCTAAGGAGCGCATGACCCTAGCTTGAATTGTAGAGAATGTTACAGTTATAGCATCTCCAAAAACAAATGGGGAATCTCAAAGAAACATTTTTATGACGTCAAAAATATTTAAAATAATGTTTGTCATATAATGACCCCTAACTTCAAACTTGTTGCCAACAAGACAATTTTGACTCATACTGACACAATTGGACAAAGTAGAACTGACACACTTTGTTCTCACGGTGGTCATTTTCAGAAAATTAGAATACAACATTTTCCACTAACTGAGTGGTTGGTAGGATATAGCTGTTGACCTTGGGTTATCAGTTGAACATTTAATCACTGAGCGACCAGGTTCTTTTTGATATAAAACACTAGAGAAAACACAGAGTTAGCTTCCTATTCTTTTTAAAGAAAATTCTATTCACTGTCATGTGCACAGGGGATCAAAGACTCTGTGGCCCCAAAATGTATTGAAAAGACAATAGACGCCACCCTTGCTATGGCTGATGATGATTTTTATATCATACTTATCTCTTGATTTTTGTGATTTGATATTTTCTTGTCAATGTTGAAAACTTTCATGTTAAGATTTAGGTTATTCTAAATTAACATCCTTGATTATATCTATTTTTAATTCATAAAATTAAATATATATATATTTATTTATTTAAAGCCCATTTCCAAAAATTAAAAGCTTCAGGACCCACAAAATCTGTGTCCATCTCTAACAAGAAAGCTAGGACACGACCATGTGCACCAAGTAGGGAGAAGATCGCAGGACCTGCTATGACTCTGAGATGTTCAGAAAACACTCACGATTTTGACGGAGGGGATTGGAGATGATAAGGAAGGGTAGAATACAGGAGGCTTATGAAACGTAAGTGTATCATTAAACTAAAAATATTGAAGAAAGAAAAGGCTGTCTATCCCCATAAAGACTTAAAAAGTCTCTGTAACCCCAAAGGAGGGAGCCCTGGAGGCATAGTGAGTTTATATTGGGAAGCTAATTGCAAGGTCAGCAGTTTGAAACCACCAGCCTCTCCATGAGCCAAAGATGATGTTTTCTGCTCCCGTAAAGAGATAGAGGCTCAGGAATCAACAGGGGCAGCTCCGTCCTGTCCTGGACGGTCACTGCGAGTGGAGTTGACTTGATGACAGTGAGGGTGGGCTTTTCCTTCTTTTGTATCATAATATATTCATGATTGGGTTAATTTTAAAAAAGGATTTGATAAAATTCAGATCGGACTGCCTGCTTCCGTGGAGCAGAAGAGAGTTCAGATGATCGCCTCCCTCCCTCTGACCATGTCACTTGTCTCGTCGCCACACCTCCGCTTGGCTGCTTTACTTGTCACCCACGGAGTTGTCGCTTCTTGCTTCTTTTCTCATTCCGTTTACCGCAACATCAAATTTGCTAAATATTTGATCAGGTCTGCTCCTAGCCCCTCTTTTAATCTTTGACTTACATTTATATCTGGATGTCATTGCTGGGGAGTGTGTTTGGAGAATGAAAATGAATGGTTTGATGTCAGCACTACCTTTAGAAGACTCCTCACTAAGACCACAGCCCCGTGACGCAAATGGAAGATGACGGCGTTTCAGTCACCACCCGTAAAGGAAGGCATCGCTCCACACGAGCAGATGCACAAGCATTCATGACAGGGAACCTGTAAGGGGCTTTCCTGGCCATGATGACAAAGGCATCCATGACATACAGTCATAGCATTTATGACATGAATCTAATCCATTGACTTAGCGCTACGATGGCGAAATGAGTTCACCCATAACTAGAAGATGAAGGGGCTCTCTTAATTGCTTTGACAAAAAAGAATACTGAGATGCACATTGCGATTGGAGCTGTCAAATATAGGAAATGACGTGACTGTGACACACCCCTTGCTAAGAGTATAAAAGTGCTCCACTTCTGGAGGTGACATTAAAACTCAGCATCTCCTCACAGTCACTCAGCTGAACTCACTTCTTCAGTCACTTCTTCAGTCAGCATGTCTTTCAACCGCTGCTCTGGAAACTTCTCCTCCTCTCTGGGAAGCTGCCAGCACTTTCCAGGCTCCTTCTGTGGCTCGTCCTACCCCAACAACCTGCTCTACAGTACTGGTGTCTGCTCTCCAAGCAACGTCCAGCTGGGCTCCTCTTTGTACGGTGGCTGTCAGGAGACCTTCTACAAACCCAGCCCCTGCCAGAACTCCTGTGTCGTGTCCAGCCCCGGCCAGGCCTCCTGCTATCGTTCAAGGTCCTCCACTCTCTGTAAACCCTGCCAGCCAACTGTCGCTGTGTCTCAGGGCTTTGGCGCCGGCAGTGGCTGCTCTCTGGGTTTTGGATCCACAAGCTTGTATTCGCAAGGCTGTGGAATCAATCACGTCAGACCTGTGAGCTGTGGAACCCAAGGTTTCTCTTCCCAGGTCTCTGGATCTGGATTCTTCCACCCTAACTACCTGGCTTCCGGAAACTGCCAGTCTTCTTGTTACAGACCAACCTGTGGATCCGGCTTTTAATGATCATTTTACGAAGTGTTCATTCATGTTGATGAATAGCAACAATGCTTCTGTTCATAACCTGTATTGTTTCTCTTATCTCCAAAAATAACTACCCTCTTATTCTTTCCTTATCAAATTTGTACTAGGTCTCTGGTGTGAAACACTGTTAGACATCTGAAAGACTCGATATTTAATGTATCAATATAAAATAAACTCTAAGCATGTACTGGAGATTGAATTCATATCGTTGGAATTTCTTCTGAGATTCCATAAAACTCCAGATGATTTTAATCTAATAAATTTATGGATTCTGATGATCAAAAAACCACGCTTATTGTTGTTGATTGTAGACTAAGACATTGGGGGCGTGGCCTTGAGCGGGTTTTGGAGTCACATGTATGTACCCCCATGACAATATGTTTGGAAACCTAAACATTTTGGAACTAAACTAGTGACTTTTCAGTTTGCATATTTTTAAATTCAAAATAGAGTTGTTGTTGGAAATATACAGACCTTTACAAATAAAATCCTCACAATCATGTATTAGAATAACTCATCATCACACAATACACACGGTAATGCACACGCAGTAATACCATTGTCTTGGTTTTATTGGGGTGCCTTCAAAAATTGTAAAGTAGTGACTTTCACAGGGATATGATGGGCCTGTTATAACTTATATTTAAGACCGAGAGCTCAGCTTCAGTGTGATGGCTGCATGTTTTGGATTCCAAAAGGTAATCGTCTTAGATTTTCTCTGAAGACTCAGGCTGACCACAAGGGCTCATTGTGAAGACGTTTTAAGAAAGTTGAAAACAGTCTTGGTGGAAAAAGTCCAGGAAACACGAATGAAGGACATGTCTAGCTGGTGTTAGGTGCCATCAAGGCTGAGCCACAGCCACCCTATGTACAACAGAAGGAAACACTTCCTGGTCCCGTGCCATCTTCACAAATGTGGCCATGTTTGCACCATTGATGCACACATTGTGTCAATCCATTTAGTGCAGTGTCTTCTTTTTTATTGCCCTTCTATGGTAGCAAGCATGATGTCCTATCCAGGGACTAGTCTCTCCTGGTAACATGTCCAAAGTCCATGAGATGAAGTCTCACTCTTCCTGTCTCGAAGGAGCATTCTGTCTCTGCTTCCCCCAAGACAGATCTACTTCTTCTTTTGGCAAATCCATGGTACTTCCAATACTCTTCACCAGAACCTTAATACAACTGTGTTTATTTGTTAAGACGTGATTACATGATACCAATGCACCTGCTCACTATTTGAGCAGAGCAAAAGTTGTCCAAGAAGATATCATCTGCAAATCTTACTCTCATCCACCATACACTGAATCTTGTCCTTCCAGAATGTTGTTGGGGTTTTTTTGCCAAAAAGTCAAAGGACATTTAAAAAGAACACAATCTGAGTCCCTTGAGGCTGCCCAAACTGCTCTTTTGACATGGGATAAATCTTTTTACATGTGGTAAGAGTGCAGAATTCTCCCATGAACAAACAGAGAGAGGGAAACGCTGCCTTCAAAAGTATATAGACTTAGTGGAGATTATGTCAAGGAACAATAGCTTCATATTTTGATATTTTGCTTAATATTTTTTATAACATTTCAGTAATCATTTTCGACCTACCCTAGTTGGCACATTTCAAAGTTCCTGGGAAGGAAATGAAGTGACAAGATCTAGATTGTGAGAAGACATCAGTGGTCTATCTATATCAAAGGCTTAGGATATTTGATCTATAACAAACTCTCAATATTTAACATTAAAAAAGAAAATAAAATAATGTTCAACTTCTGAAAATGGCCAAAGGATATAGAGAATTTTCTGGAAATTTGTACAGATGGAGAACATACAGTTCAAAGATATCCCAATCAAAAGATATTCATGTTGTTTTTCACTGACACAGCATTGACGCTGACTCATAGCCGCTCTAGGACCCTAGGACAAGGTAGAACTGCACTTTTGGGTTACCCCAGCCTGTACGCTTTCATGGGAGGAGAAAGCCTCATCTTTTTCCTATCGAGTGACCAGTGGATTTGAATTGTTGCCCTTGTGGTTTGTAGCCCAATGCGTAACTGACCAAGCCACTATGGGTCTCTTTTATTAACAATTAGAGGATTGTAAATTAAAAGGGGAATGCGATATATCCACATATCTGTGAAAATAACTAAAACAAAATAAAGTGACAACACTGAATGTTGGTAACTATGTAGAAAAACCTGGTCACTCTCCATTGCTCTTAGTGATAAGAAGTGGCATAGTCACACTGGAACTTCGTGTGAGTGTTTCTGATAATGTTAAATATTTAACTATCATGTGACCCAACTATTAAATTCTTTGATATTTATTTCAGTGAAATAAAATGTAGGCTACACACAAAAATGCATTAATATTCATAGAAGCTATATTTTTAATAAACAAAAACCTGGAATTATCTTAGCTATCTTTTAGCAGGTGAATGGATAAACAAACTCTGTCACATACACACCATATATTATTATTCAGCAATGAGAGGGGGCGAACTTTGTTGAATCTTCTTCTAATTTTGAGTGGGAACTGACAGGTCTAAAAGATTACATATTATATAATCCCATTACTATGACAGCTTTGAAATAAAAACAAAAAACAAAAAGAGATTTTTTGGTGTTAGGAAGAGAGGGGAGAACGAGGTGTGTATGGTATAAAATGTGAAAATTTAGGAACTCCTATGGTATACGATAACTATGAGTCAGAATTAACAAGATGGCAGTAAGGTGTTATTTTTTTTTAATTTTATGATGTTAGACGCACAGGTGGCTAAACGAGTTATGTGCTTGCTGGGCTTCTAACCACAAGGTTAGTCATTTGAAACCGCCAGTCACTCCTCAGGAGAAACACGAGGGTTTCAACACCTGTGAAGGTTTGCATGATTGGAAAGCCACAGGGGCAGTTCTACGCTGCCCAGGAGGGTCACTGTGGTTCATAATCAACTCTTATTTAATGAATTTGTGTTGGGATGATTTACAATCTCAGAAACCCAAAAAAGCAAATCTACTCTGTCCTGTAGGATTGCTATGAGTCAGAATGGGTTGGTGGCAGTTTGGTTTAGTTCATGGTATTAGAAAGGGCCTGGGTGGTACCCTGGGTTAATCTTTGGTTGGATAAATGAAAAAGCAGTGGTAAGAGCCCATCAGGATCTCCACAGGGGAAAGATGAGTTAGCCTACTTCCTCAGAGATTTACAGATGTGCAAAGCCTATGACAGAGTTGTACTCTGACCTATAGTGCCCAGTTATTAAGTCAGAATTGATTCCATCGATGGCACTGGGTTTGGTACATTATTAGAGCAAATTATTCTTGTACTGAGGTAGGATTTAAGTAGAGGCCCAAAGTCCATTTGTTTCCTTATTGTGTATATGTATATATATATCATTTTACATATATATTACATACATATTTTTGCATATATATGTTACCTATATATATAATTATTACTTCCTTATTGTTTCCTCTATTTCTTTTTCTCTTTTCTCCTTCCCTACTTCCATGTTCACTCATCATTCGCCTCTCAGTAAATCCTCTCAGTTACATCTCAATTGATTAAACATCATCAGGGAGCCTATACCCTTCTCACCATCAATTTTAGACCCCCTGCTATTTCCCTACCCCTGGTGTATTGGCTCATTGTTCCCCTCCCCCCATCTTCCCTTCTCCCATGCCCCTCTGGAATGTGGGTCCCTTTGCTGTCTCCTTGAGATTGCTTATCCTGTCTGTCTCATATAGCTAGACATCAAAAACAAAAACAAACAAACAAAAAACTCCAAACATATCAGTAGTTTTGGTGTAACTGCTGACCTTTGTGAATATTCCCCAACCAGTTCAGATGAGGTGCCAAGAGCTGCCCCTGAGTCAGAAGTCTATTTTCGGGATTCTTCTGAGCCTCCATGGCTTTGTTATCATTGCTGATCTGTTCTACTTCCCCCATGGCTTGCCCCCGTGTGTGTAGGTCAGACCAGCCGCTCTCCTCGCACGCACAGTGCCTTCAGTGCTGTCCTCAATAGCACTGGGGTCTAGGGCAGAGATTCCATATCTCCCGCTGAGGCCAGGTGGACTATCCTCTTTGTGAACCAGCGACTCCAAACAGAACATCACCCTCAGGTGGTGGTGGTCCAGAATGTGGTCTACTCTCTCTCTCTCTTTCCCCCTTAGTTTGTTCCCATGTGAATGGTCAGACTGGGCACTCTCCATGGACTTTATCTTCACTATGTTGTATCCTCTGTATTGCTGTCATCTAGGGAGGGAGATGTCATAACACAAGCAGGGGCTGGACTTGCAGTCCTGTTAGTGGGCTGGTCCAAGCATGAAAAGAAATACCTGGATATTTAGTACATTGTGCTTATTTTGGAAGGTACACTATTTCTTCACATTTTAATATTTAATTTAAAAAGTTATAGAGGAAACTCTACAGAAATGCTTCAAGTATAATTTTGCTTCAATATTCTATATAAATACCATTTAGTGACCAAGCCATGCTATCGTTCTTGAAAAAAATAATTTGCCATTTCCCTGCATATATATGACCTCTAAGCTATCCTGGGTAAATAGAACAGAAACATTTCATGACTAATGAATAGGCAATATACCAGTCTATGATGTGAATCTTAATATTTTAAGTAAAGGCTTTTGAGTGTCTGACTGTTCATCAAGATATTTGATTAAAGACCAAACCCTGCATGGATTAGTAACAACTTAAGTGCAATTTCAAAGAAATATTTAGGACAGTCTGAAAAAACTGGATGAATGCAGATTTGTTTCTCCTGAGACATAGGAGAGCAGGATGCGATTTCACAACTATAGCTTTGAAAGTCATACATTCTTACAAGAACAGAACCTAGCATTTTTAATGAAATCTCCCTTTGGGGGGAAAAAAACCAGAAAAGCTATACAGATTTATAAGAAATATCACAGGAGGGGCTGGGGGTGGGGGGGACTGCATTGTGCAGCACAAATCAATATAAGACCTAGGATGAATCCAGCAGGTGGTTTGAGACTTTCTGTTTTATGATGTTACTATCTGTAGCTCATATCTCATTATGAGTGGTTCTCTAAATTGTTGGGGGGGGCGGGCAGAATAAAACACCTGTGGATTGATTCAGAGAAAGATTTATGCCCCCAAAGGCAGAGTTCCCTAAGAAATTAATGAACATCCCTGTCATGCCTAAGATTGATTCTACTTTCCACTTAGCATACAACTATTAAGTTACATCATCAAAGTAATTTGGAAGAAATGTCCCCAATTTACCATTTTATTATTCATTTCTGACATATCTACTATGGTGGACAACTTACTATAGATAATTCCAGTTGTTTGAATACAATTTTAACTTGTTTAATGTTGGTAATATTCCCTGTGCACTTAGAAACCGTGCATAACTTGAAATTCTTTACGGTTATCCCTTTATTCCGACTTGGTTAATTTTATTCATGAAATTGTTCTGTTTTTCTATAGTCTTCTTGAGGTTCGGTCTTCTGTGTTTACCTGTTAATTTCAAAACTGTCACTATTGAAAGATCCAGGCCAATTGAGGCAATTGAGGAAGAGATCGTGAAGGACTGTCTTGCTTTATTTCTAGAAAATATATAACAACCTCCAACAGCAGCTTTGTTTGTGATTAATGAGGCAAAACTAGACATTTGTTTCTATGTTTTTATTTTGGCACTTTCTGTTTATCCAGAAAAAAAACTCTCTTAAAGCAGAAAACGATTCATGTAAATCCTGGTCGTGTGAAAAGTAGTGAAGAGATACTAGGCTGCCGAAAGAAGCACCCAGTCTGCTTCGGCAGCGCTGCCGTTCCCTGCTCAGAAGCGAGGATGGCCAGATTTCCTCTCCTTACTTTGGACATGGTAGCAGGCGGGAATCAGTCAGCCCCTGGAAAAGGTTATCTTGTTTAGTCGTTGAAAAAGACAAAGAGGCTCAATGTTATAGACTGACAAAATGGGCAAACATGGGCTCAAACAGAAGACAGAGTCTGAGAATGGCAGTGGTTTGCTCTGCTGTACTTTGGGTCATTATGCGTTACAACCTACTTGATGGCAACAGCAACATTTTTATTTCTTTCTACCTGCATTTTTTTTGCAATTATGTACACATGCACCTCCTTTTTTCTTCTATTTTCATCTTTTGAGGGGATCAGAGAAGGATTAATAAATAATTTGTACTCTGATTTTTCCCTTTTAAGTTATTACTTATTTGGCAAGAAATTATACTAGTAATTATTTAAGAGAGGTTAATTTGCATTATTTATTTACTACTCTAATTCTACCCATCCTATAGAAATTACAAGCCACTTTGATTAGTGTGTTGTACAATAAATACAATATACTTCAAATACATTTTAGTTATCCTTATTCCCTCCTGAAGTTCCAAATTTCTCTCTACAATTACGCTTCTCTAACTAAAGAAAATACTTTAACATTTATTTTATATTTGGTTTTCCTAGTATGGAGGTGACATTAAAAGAAATATAAGTGTATATTATACAATGGAAAAATAATCTGTCAGAGGTATACTAGAAAAGAATTAAATTTTTAAATGACAGAGAAAAATGTGAGAGGAACTGAACGTAAAAACTCTCCCCATGAACTCACATCTTTTGCCAAGAGAGCAGGATCTTGAAAATTGTACAAAGGTTGTGTGTATGTGTGTGTGTGTGAACTGTCTCAAACTATACTGATTTTGAAACTATTTTTATTTTATATCTATAGTAAACCCAACGGCCTGTATATGGAGCCACTAATTCCTTCCCTTCATTTCAAGGATGTTCGACTGTTATTTCACATTTGCACATATTGATCTCCACTCTAACACCATTTTAAAAGTGTCTGTTTATTTTCATTCTAAACACTTGCCTAGGTTTTTCTCTGGAAACTGCCATGTTTTTTCATTCATGTGTTTCTATCCATTTCACTTATCCATTTGGATGTGAGGAGCAGCCCGTAATAGACTCTGCGCTGTGAGCAATAATTTTAGGAAACGAAAACCAATGCTAACAAAGAAGGTCAAACCCTAGGTCCCTCCACAAGAACTGCTGTGTCTCCGATCTCATAAAAAGAAGTGGTGACCTCATGCCATTCCCCACGCTTACACCTAAGCATCCCAAGCGAGCAGACAAACCATTAGAAAAGGGAAGGGATTAGAGGCTTACCTGACCATGATGGGATGACATTAAAAAGCTAATAATCATAACAATTTGGACATTGAAGTCATTTGTTGTCCTAATGTAATAACAACATGTTAAAGTCACCCACAAATAAAAAGTGGAGAAGATTATTCATCTGCAATTAAAGCGAATATTTTTTAATAAGTGCTCTGGAGATGTGGGAATCCACCTGGGAGAGAGATGACTTGCAGAACACCACACCCACGGTAGAGAGTATATAAACAGCCTGGTTTAGAAGATGCCATTAGAGCTCCGAATCTTCTCACAATCCTCAGCTGAACACACATCTTTTGTCAGCATGACCTATAGTTGCTACTCTGGAAACTTCTCCTCACGCTCCTTGGGTAGCTGTCTGAGCTACCCACAGTCATGCCGGGGCACTTCCTCCGCCAGCAACCTGGTCTACAGTACAGCTCTCTGCTCCCCGAGCACCTGCCACCTGAGCTCCTCTCCCTACAGGGCTTGCCAGGAGGCCTGCTATGAGCCCAGCAACCGCCAGATGGCTGGTGAAGTGTCCAGCCGCTGCCAGAGCTCCTGCTATGTCCCAAGGACCACCATACCCTGCAGTCCCTGCCAGAGGACTTATTCTGGGTCTTCGAGCTTTGGCTCCAGAAGCAGCTGCTCACTGGGCTCCAGATCTAGAAGCTGCTACCCACAGGGTTATGGATCCAGAAACCGCTATTCACTGACCTGTGGATACAGTGGCTTCAGACCCCTGAATTACAGCATCTGCGGTTTCCCGGCAATGGGGTATGGATCTGGAGTCTGCAATACAACCTACTTTCCTCCCAGGAGCTGCCTGTCCTCTTGCTACAGACCAGCTTGGGGATCTGGCTTTCACTGATCAACTTGTCCAGTTCGCTCCTCGTAGCCTTTGCCCATCTGCTCCTTGCTTTGTCTCTAGCCACCAAGTAGTGATAAAAAAAACAACAAAAACAAACAGCCTCTAACTTATGCTAAATTTAATTAATTGATTCACTGGACTAATTGAATGAATTAGTTTATTGAATGAAATGAAAACAAAATTAATAGAATTTATGTTAAAGATATTGAATTAATGGATGGTTAATGGATTAATTAACAGAATTACTGTCAATGTCTTATTTACCAATCAGATCAAATGAATACAACCTAATAAATTCATCTCTTCTTGCATCCAAATATGCTGTTATGTTGTCATTCGTTTTATGTGTTCATGTTTTGTTTGCTATTTCTGGCTACATTTCGTTTGGGGGCAGTGGTAGAATTTTCATCTTTTGTATGAGAGATCTGGATTTGATTTCTGAACATTGCACATCATGAATAGTCATTATCCATCTACCAGTGGTGGTTTGCATGTTATGATGCTAAATAGTTTCAGAGAAATTTCCAAACTAAGACAGACTGGGAACAAGGCCTGGTGATCGACTTCAAAAAATCAGCCAATGAAACCCATGGATCACAGGGGTGTTTACAGCTGACTGTGGAGATGATGTAGGACCAGGCAGAAACTGTTTCATAATTATCTTCAGCAACATTTTACTCTGTGTGGTGATGCTCTTTATTACTAAAAAAATTTCTGTATTCTATTGGGCCACCGTTCTTTGGAATATCTTCCTGTCAGTTGACCAGGTATCTGTCTTCCAAATGTTTTGGCATAGATCAGTGAATTCATCCAGCTTTGTACGTTTTTGAAACTTCTGGTATTCAGTCAATTCCTGATGTTTACATTATCCAGTGCCTTTAGTACAGCTTGCACTTCTTTTCCTGATCAGGAATTTTTTATCGTGTACCACTTCCTGAAATGATGTAAGTCAACCAGTTCTTTTTGGTGTAAGGGTTATGGTCTTTCCTTCCATCTTCTTTCGATACATCCTGCATCGTTCAGTACTTTGCCTAGAATCTTTCAGTATTGCAGCTTGAAGATTAACTCTTTTCTTTGATTCTTTCATATTGAGAAATGCAAAGTGGGTTCTTCCACTATAGTTTCATATCTCCCGTTCTTGGAAAAAGCACAACAGCATGTGTGACCACGAGCTGTCGAAGGGATCAGGTATCAAGCATCAAAGAACAAAAAATATCATTGTAAAGGTGGGTGAGTGCAGAGTGGAGACTCAAAGCCCATCGGTAGGCAACTGGACACCCCCTCACTGAAGGGCTGAGGGGAGGAGACGAGCCAATCAGGGTGCAGGGTAGCAACGATGACTTTCCACTAGTTCTTAAATGCTTCCTCCCTGTCCACACCCCCAACTAGTATCTGATCCCAATTCTACCTTACAAATCTGGCTAGACCAGAGGATGTACATTGGTACAGATAGCAACTGGAAACACAGGGAATCCAGGATAGATGACTCCTTCAGGACCAGGTGTGAAAGGGGCGAGGCCTGGAGGGTGAAGGGAATGTGGGGTAGAAAGGGGGAACAGATTACAAGAATCTAGGTATTGCCTCCTCCCTGGGGGAGGGACAGCAGAGAAGAGGGCGAGGGGAGACGTCAGACAGTGTAACTTATGACAAACTATAATAAGTTGTGAATTATGAAGGGTTCATGTGGGAGGGGGAAAATGAGCAACTGATATTAAGGGCTGAGGTAGAGGACAAATGTTTTGAGAATGATGAGGGCAGTGAATGTACATATGTGCTTGACACAATGGATGTATGTATGGATTGTGATGAAAATTGTACGAGCCCCCAATAGAATAATTTTTTTAAATGTGATCATATATTTTACACATTATTATATAGGTTACTATTATTATCAATTGTACAGCCGTATTTACTATTTATTATTAAGATATATTTAATATTATTTATTTAAGAATAATTTTATTATTATTATTAATCATTATTACACCAGTATTAATTTATTATTATTATACATTTATTTTATTATACATTATACATATTGTTCATTATGTATTTTAAATTTTATTATACCACTTTTAGAACTGTTCTTTGAAATTGTATCTTCAATTCTTTTACTTCATCATTTTATTCATTTGCCTGAGCTATGCTACATTCAGGAACAAGTTTCAGAGAAAAATCTGACCTCTTATTTCATCTTTAATATCTTTATTGTCCGTTTAGTGACTTTTTTTCTTTCTCCATGTGTGACATTCTTGATCACCAGACAACTGGTCTGGTCTTTGGTCATTGGGGTTCAATGTGTCAAGTCTATTCTACTCAGGTGAGTTATGGTCAATGTCATACTTCACCTGTCATAGGATTGTTTTTAATTTTGCATATGATCAAGCAACATATGAACTTGCATATGATCAAGCGACATATGAACTTGCATATGATCAAGCAAAAACAAATATACACATATAATTATAAAATTATTAAGAAAACATAATTTTATATGTAAATATGAATGTTATTCTTTTCTATAGTATTTGCAAACCCTTGTAAGCATCTTGAAAATGTTCCTTTGTGGCACAAATGATTAAGTGTATAATGACTAGCCCTATGTTTGGTAGCTAACTTCCACCCAGAGACACTTTGAAAGATATGCTTGGTGATATGCTTCCCATAGTCACAAACTGGAAGACCCTATGGCGCACACATGGTTCCACTGTGGATGAGTGGGGTTGTAGTGAGTTGGAATACCATTGACAGCCACAACAGTCACAACCAATCACAAGTAAAAAACAATAAAAACTATCACAAGAAAGATATATTTTTAAAACTGAAATTATAAATGATTTACCATTGATTTCATTACTCAAAACAGACCAAAAAATGAACGCCCTCACTGCCATTGAGTCATTTCTGACTGATAGTGACCCTGTGGGCTAGAACTACCCCTGTGTATTTCCAAAGCAGTCCCTCTATGGAACTGAAAGCATCATCATTCTCCCGCTGACTAGTTGGTAGTTTGAATCTCCTGACCTTGTGGTTAGCAAACCAATGCAGAAGTAAAAATCCTACATTGCAAAACAAAGAAACAATCATATGGGCAAGAATAAGAACAATTTTGAGAGTATAAAACAAAATAAATAAGTCACAGCAGTATGAAGATACTTGTATTCAGGGAATTCATGAAAATTAAATTAATATCTACTATTTATGTTGTTTAAAATGGGGATATGGAAAATAACACTATACATGCATAACATTTAACATTATCTTATCACTTGGCCATCTAGAATTCTGATCAAATTAACTATAGGATTAATCTCCTCCCATTTATATGACTAAAACTCAGATTAATCACTCTCACTTTATTCTCTTGCCTTTGTTAACATTCTTAAATATTAAGTAAAATAAAGCTTTTGTAAAATTATATGTATATAATCACATTTGTATTTATTATTACACATGGATATATATGTTTAATGCTTGCATTAGCATATATATGCATATAGACAATAAATTTTGCACATCTACAATAAAAAGTTAAACCATTGCATCTGCTACTGTAAAGAAGGAAAGAAAGCACTAGGTGGGCCACTTTGGATTCTTAAAGGAATATATTCCAAACCTAGAAACACCTCTCCATACTGAGATGTAGAAACACTTTTGTATAGACAGGTGTAGTTGGCACCAGATAAGGGAAGGATTCTGCAGTTCTAGACTCAACTATAAGCATCCTTTTTGGTTTTCCCATGTAATCCAGCAGATCACATTGTGTTGTGGGTTGCTATTATTAGGTGTCATTGCATCATTACTGACCCATAGAAACCCTGTGCACCACAGAACGAAACATTACCTGGTCCTGCGCCATCCTTACAGTTGCCTGTAGCCTTGAGCCCATGCTTGCTGCCACTGTGTCAATTCATCTCATTGAGAACTTTGCTCTTTTTCACTTTCTCTCTACTTTAGCAAGCTTGATGTCTTCCTCCAGGGACTGGTCTCTCCTGACAATGTGTCCAAAGTATGTTCATTGAAGTCTTGCCATCCTTGCCTCTGAGGAGCACTCTGGCCTTACTTCTTCCAAGACAGATCACTTTGTTCATTTGGCAGTCCATGATCCTTTCAGTATTCTTCTCTAGCTCCACAATTCAAATTCACCAGTTCATCTTTGATCTTCCTTATTCCATGTGTAACTTTCATATACACATAACTCAACAATGGATACGATGGCTTAGTTCAGGTGAACCTTAGTCTTCAAAGTAACTCCCTTGGTTTTCAATACTCTAAAGAGGGCTCGTACAACAGTTGTACCTAATGTAATGTTTTTTGGTTTCTTGGCTGCGGTTTATGTGAGCATTGATTGAGGATCTAAGCAAGACAAAAATCCTTGACAACCTCAATCTTTTCTCCATTTGTCATAGTGTTACCTATTCAACCAATTGTGAGGATTTTGGACTCCTTTACATTGAGTTGTAATCCATACTGTAAGCTAACATCTTTTATCTTGATCAGCAAGTGCTTCAATTTCTCCTTATTTTTAACAATTAAGTTTGTATCGTCTGCATATTGCAGGTTTCCAATAACCCCTACTTCAATTCTGGTGCTGCTTTATTCTTCATATAATCCAGCTTCTCTGATTATATGCTCAGGAAACACACTGAACAAGTATCGTGAGAAGATTACAACCCTGACACACACCTTTCCTGATTTTAAACCATACAGTCTTGTGGGTATCTGTTATTAAAAGAAAGAACAAAAACAAACACCCCCCCAAAAAAAACAAACAAACAGTGGTATATTTGTGTGGTCCATTTTTGTGTCTATTGTGTCATTCCATCTCATTGAGGGTTTTCATAGTTTTCATTATCCCTCAACTTTAACAAAGCATCTCTCTACTTTTTTTTAACGGTTTTGCTATCCATTGGTTTTACCTAATGATATGTCCAAAATAAGTAATTCAACTTTTATGGAGAATTCTGGTTGGATTTAATTTAAGACAACTTTGTTAACCC